AGCAGTGAGGTCTACAGGGCAACTGTCTACAACTGTCATTTTATTTCCAATCATACCCTTGTGTGATTTTCATTTTCATTACACATGGCATAGTTTGGAGTATCTATCTGGCAGAGATTGCAGTATAAATACTACAGATTCTTTCTACTTAAGAGCTATATAAAAGGGTCCTTATATAATCTTATATGTAGATGTGATCAGTTTAGGGCTGAACTCCAGTCAAGCAGGTAAATACATATTTATCCCTCCAAAATAGCTTTTAAAGAAGAACTCTGGATATGGTGCTACAACACAGGTCCATTCACCTGCATTAGATGTGAGGATGCCAAGGAACATACCAAAGCTGGAGCAGAAGGGGGAGAGAGGAGAGTGCTGACCGCTCCAGGATTGAGCATCAGGTGAGTATATCTTCTGTATTCCTGCTCCAGAGAAAAATAAGCAGGCAACCCTTGCAGTTCAGCGGTAGCCCCACTGCAAGAGTTAACTTTGATCATTCCTGGAGTTCTTCTTTAATCCAAGGGAGCAGAGGAACTGTAAACCCATGCATTTTGCATCGATCTTAAGGCTCTTAGGGATCTTAAGTCGGCAAGCCTTTTTTTTTTTTTTGCGTTTAAAATGTGTTTGAAGCACACATCAAATGTAGGACAGCAGATTTCCTTTTACTTCAACGGTGTGGAGTGGATGACTGTTCCGAAGTTGTTTAGGCAACGTTCACACCAGGGCAGTTGCGAATCAGCGCGGTTTCCGCACGGATTTCAAAAGTGCGGTTTTGGGTGTTTTTAAAGCACTGAATCGCAATTAAAAACGCCCAAAACCGCGCTGAACAGTGCGGTTCCATTGAAAGCAGAATGGAGACCAGAGCAGCAAAAAAAGGGTCAGGGAGCAATTCGGGCAGGAGGCGGTTCGGATCGTGCGGAGCCGTGCGGTCGCGTGAACGGTCCCCATAGCAATGTATGGGCTTGTTCATGTCGGTGGATCCACACGGCCAAATCCGCGTGGCTGAACCACCCTGGTGTGAACGGGTCCTTAACCTGCTCTGTGTTGCCTTTTTCTGGACAGGACAGGACCTACTGAGATTTTTCCACTGAAGGAAAAACAGGTCGAACACAATGCTTTTGCTGTGTTTTATCATTGAATACATACGTTTGAGCAGCTCTGCTTTTAAATGCAAAAAAAATGCTTTTGACAACAACAACCATCTATATGAGCCCCTAAGTAACAGAGAGAGAGCATGATCAAAAGTCTACACATGGGGGTCTATTTATTAGAAAGATTGCTGATTGCTGTGCCAGTGTATCACCATTCATGCAAAAGTAACAAAAAATACCCTTGTAAATGTTTTAAATATGTGCAAAATTTTATTTTCTGATAGTGAAGTTTTCGTCCATAGGGCAAATGTAACATTTACTAATACCCTAGGAACAATAAAGAGAAAATAGCCTAAGAACAATCAACTGGAAGAAAAAAATTGCCTAAAACAATACCCTAAGAACATGAACTGGAAGAGAAAATAGCCTAAAACAATAGCCTAAAAACATCTTACCTGCAGAGAAAATACCTTAAGGGCATTCGATTTTGCCCCATCCGCATAGCTTTATACATTGTGTGAATAATCCCCACAACTAATAAGTAAATATTGATTAATTTGCACCAAGCGAATATATAAAGGGAACCAGTGGTGTAACTATCAGAAAAAAACAGTATCTGTACTAAAGAGCTGGCGGCACACCTTTTATTTGAAAGCGGAACAACAACCTCCTATTACATACAGCCAAAGAAGGCGCCATCTTAGTCTCTATTTGGGTGGCAGTTGCCATATTGCTGCACATGTGATCAGCTATGACACCAGCCATTTAAGGACTTGAAAGTTTGGTTGAGAGTTGAATCAAGCACACTGACAACCTTGACATTTGGCATGTCTTAGGCCCAATTCACACCACTGCGTTCCGTCATCATGCGCTGTAAAATACTTAGATTCAAATTTTAATTGGCTTAAAGGGAATCATAGTATGGGCCCATGCACATATATTTACAAGTAACCTCGTACGTTTAAATGAAGATGTATGACTTTGAACAGACATATCTTTTTAGTGGTTGCCCTTGAGACCTGAAGCTATGAAAAGAACTAGTAAAGAAGCAGCTGTTTTGGGAGTGGTTTAAGAACAAGGTTCTGTGTTTTAAATAGAGTTGTAGAATGACATTTAGAAATGATGAGTTAAGTAGTTTTGGTCGCACCATATAGAGAAGTATAGTAGTCTTGACGTCAGAAATAAGTTAAGAATATGCTTACAGAGTATATGGCCTTATAGGATAGACCAATCGTTAACGTCGATTTTGGTATATAAGCGACAGGGGACAGACACTCGGGGCGCATACACACTACATAATCTCACAACACACTTCATTGACACTACATTATATGACACTATGCATACTCATGAATAGAATTCTAACACGCCCATTCAACAAGAGACTTTGTTATTCCACCTGCTAGAAGACTATTTTGATTGAACCCTCCAGATACTGAGAAACATACCAGGAGGTAAAGACTCAGAACGAGATGACATGCTTTTTAACTCTGCATTACTATATATTTTGAACTATCTATTTATATATTATATTTTTGCAATATCATTGTATGCTGTGACTTTCCATTATACAATTAAAGTCACAAGTTTTTTTTCACTCTACAACTGGACATTCATTGATGAAGATTAATCACCTTCAGACACTTAAATCGCAAGTGTCAGTCGAGAAATACTCATTTTCTTACATGCGCCAAATGCGGGAAAAACTACTCACTTTGCAGCGCGTTCATGAAACACACTCCAAGCCCGGAACGCACTTGCGGTGCCATTACTAGCTAATGACTCCCCAAATGTGGCCAGGAAAACGTGCGGGGAAAAAAAGTGGAATACATGTTGCAGATTTTGCTACATTCACTGCTTTCCCGTGTCTGACATGCATTCAGGAGCCCATTGAAATCAATGGGCATGGGAAACAAAAGCCCCGTTAAGGAGCATGCAATGCGCGTCACCGCGACACGCGTTCGTGCAACAATATGCTGTAAATGGGGCCCAGAGAGTTTTACCGCAGCTCAGGGCACATAAAAAAATGGCCCTTCACACTGTACAGGACAAAATGCGCAGTGTAAATGAGGCCTTAAAGTATCTGTTTTGGGAGGCATTCAATTTAATATCAGTTACTACATTGTAGGCAGGAGCCCCCCCAAAGTGACATTCTTCATTCTGTATAGCATAGGATAGGTATGGCCCCTGTCTGCCTCCCACAATGCATTTCTTGGAGCATGCCTTGGCCTATCCTGAGGCTCAGGCATAACTACAAGAGAGACGCAGACTTGCCTAGGCCTAAACACTGTCTTTGAGAAAGTCAGTATTTGCATAAGCACTTTGGCAGAGCTATGGGCTGCGCTGCTTTGAGTGATGTTAACAACTATTCCAGCACGATTCATTCCTAGAGCTCTTTACCCAAGCTGTTCCTCTATAGCCGTAGGTTTTACTGCAGCTTCGCTATAAGTAATACGCTGCTGTGTACACACTATGCAGAAATATTACAATTATACTGCATCCTGTACACAATAAACATGAAAACACAACAAATCATACATGAACATGGAACAGAGTGAGACTTGTTCTGCCTCATATCTCATTTCATCATATAGGTGTCACACTTCTTTACTGGAAATACGCTGTAGATATTTTACATTATTTACTTTGCCGATCATAAATCATTTCATAACAATTCTTACCACTGTGGAAATAAATTGAAATATGTGCGGTACATATAGAGAGAGATATATTCCCAAATGTCACTTATTTGAGTTCATATGAAACAATGTTATATATTAATTCATGGAGCAGTCTTTAGCAAAAAAGCATTATTTTTGAAACAGATTTCATTAGATATGTATTTTTCAACTTCAGATCACACTTCAACTGCATATAAAACTGATTAAGGATAAATCTGCTAAATAGATTTTGGGGTAACACGTGTTCCTTTGACAACTGTGGTTTTCTTAACTGTACACGGATGTATGTATGTATCTGTAAATGCACACGCACTCAAATAATACTAGGGCAGCTGAGAGTCACATGATCAGATTTAGGGGTACACCTCAGTCATTGAAGGGACCACCCACGTTATCATTACAGAGCATCTCACTAGTAAGGGAAGACATAACATTAGTGGAAGCCATCAATCCTTGTAGGGAATCATATATAGGGGTATGTCGTTGTAGGAATCAGATATACAGTAAGTGTCATTGGCAGGAATCAGATAATTTATAAATCATGTTAGCGGAATCCACTAGTATGGGGATCACATAATATTAATTTAAGGTTGACCCTAAAAACTGTGGCTAAATCATATCATCATCATTATACATTTTGGAGGGGCTGCAATTTTACTGGGCAGTCACAGAATCTGCATTGTTCACAGGGACACTGATAATCTAAATATAATTTACAGGGGATCCACTAATCACAGTGATGGTAATAATCTGCATATAATTTTTAGGGGACACAGCTAATACAGTAACAGTAATATACTGCATTTAATGTTAGGGTGGACCCACTGATCACAGAGACTGTGATCATTTTAGGGCGACCCACTGATCACAGGGGCAGTAATAATCTTCATATAATTTTAGGGGGACCCACTGATCACAGGAACAAAGATAATCTTCATATAATTTTAGGGGGACCCACTGATCACAGGAACAAAGACAGGAACAATGACAATCTGCATGTAATTTGAGAGGGTGGGCATGCATGTCATTTAAGAGGGTGGCGTTGTGGTTAGCGCTTCGGCTTTGCAGCACTGGGGCATCACTATCTGCAAGGAGTTTGCATGTCCTCCCTGTGCTTGTGTGCGTTTCCTCCGGGTACTCCGGTTTGCTCCCACACTCCAAAGACATGCTGGTAAATTAATTGGCTCCTGTCCAAAATTGGCCCACGTATGAATGCATGTGAGATAGGGACCTTAGAATGTAAGCTCCTTGAGGGCAGGGACTGGCGTGAATGTGTACTGTGTAAAGCACTGCGGAAAATATTGGCGCTATATAAATACCTGTAATACATAAAGAGGGGGACACTGATCCCAGGGACAGTGATAATCTGCATATCATTTTAGGGGGACCCACTGATCCCAGGGACACTGATTATCTGTGTATAGTTTTAGGGGGACCCACTGATCCCAGGGACAGTAATAATCTGCATATAATTTTAGGGGATCCTGATCACAGGGACAGTGATAACTGTGTATAATTTTAGGGGGACCTTCTGATCACAGGGACAATGATAATCTACGTATAATTTTAGGGGGGACCCACTGATCCCAAGGACTGTGATAATCTGCATCTAATTTTTGGGGATCCTGATCACAGGGACAGTGATAATCTGCGTATAATTTAAGGGGGACCCACTGATCACAGGGACAGTGATAATCTTCATATAATCTTAAAAGGGGGGCACAAATCCCAAGGACAATGTTAATCTAAGTATACTCTTAGGGGGAACCACTGATCACGGGGCAGTTATAACCTTTATATCATTTTAGGTGGACCCCCTGAATTTTAGTAATTCCCACTGAATCTGCATATACCTTTAGTCCCACAAATGTCATCATGAACTCATTTTTATACACAATTAGGGGTCTCGCCTATTTAATTTGATTGGTATCCTCAAATTCGGTTAGAAAAACACACAACATACATTTAATCCAAGGGCGTTTTTTTTTCCAGTCAATGTGTGATGCTTTACTTTAGATTCAATTTTAGTGGATCTGATTTATTGGTGTAGATATTGATTGGTCTGTAAACAAATGTATTTGCATCACAGAACTTTAGGGGTTCCCTAATCAATGTAAGTGGTGATCAATATAACCTCTTTTTAAATCATCTACCTGGAATATATGGTGTACATGAATCAGTGTTAGAAATAGTGCATCCTATATGAAATAATAAGGAACTCAGAGGGGGATCCCAAGAGCTGTATGAAATATGTGGGGTACATAGATCAGTGTTAGAAATAGTACATCCTATATGAAATAATAGGGAACTTAGAGGGGGATCACACCAGCTGTATGAAATATGTGGGGTACATAGATCAGTGTTAGAAATAGTACATCCTATATGAAATAATAGGGAACCTAGAGGGGGATCACACCTGCTGTATGAAATATATGGGGTACATAGATCAGTGTTAGAAATAGTACATCCTATATGAAATAATAGGGAACTTAGAGGGGGAATCACACCTGCTATATGTAATATGTGGTGTACATAGATCTGTGTTAGTACATCTAACATGAAAAAAATAGGAGACTCAGTGGGGAAACACATCATCTGCATCATCTGCATGGACTACACAGGCTATACAGATCAGTGTTAAGAAACAGTACATCCTATATAAAATAATAGGCACTCAGCAGGGGGAACACATTCTATGTATGAAATATTTGGGGTACACAGATCAGTCTGACAGATATTACAAGAAATGCGGGGCTCAGCTGAGGAATCTAATCACCCAAAAGGAATACTTGGTGTACACAGATCAGTGTGAAAAATAGCACAACCTATATAAAATAATAATGGACTCAGCAGAGGAATCTCAACATTAATATGGAATATTTGGGGTACACCGATCAATGTGACTGATAGTGCATCTTATATCAAATAATGATGGACTCAGCTGAGGAATCACATCATGGGTATGGAATATTTGAGGTATACAGATGATCTGTATGTAATATCTCTGTGTGGTCATATCATCTACAATGTTTCTAGGGAAGTCTTTAATCAGTGTGGGGATCCCCGAATTTACTAGGATCTATGGGAATTACAAATCAGTATGGGAAATCATATGACCTGTGTGTTTTGACTCTAATCAGTGGGGATCACACCGGGGAATCGGTGGAGTACACAGATCAGTGCATGACGGGATCATATGATATTATACATATCATGTGTTGTTGGGGTTCTCTGATCAGTGTTGGGATCCCATCATTGCACAGAGTTCGGGGTACAGCGCTCAGTATGGGGGATCACATAGACATGCATGTGAATGTTGGACATCCTGGGAAGGGGGGGGGGGGGGGACCAACCAGTGGGATGGGGGG